AAATAGGAACAACTCGCGTAGAGCCTGGTCTTTTACGATTTGGCACGCGAGCATTTAACTGCTCGAAACGAAAGTGCATTTTTATCACGCAACTTCTTGAATTTCGCTCTCACTTCCTCACGTGTTTCACATTGTTCCCTTGTAAAATTATTTTCGCGTTTCTTTATTTTTACCTGCGCCTGTGCGATTATGTCACATCCGAGAAATAATTATCAAAATCAGCCTGTTAAAAAAATCACGCAAAAATAATGTCAAAATTGCATAATTTTATTCAAAGTCATTCATTTCTTTCATATTTATTATATTAGAAACAAAACGTACACCCGATATATGCATTTGTAATCGCTGAATATCGCGTGCGATCTTACGTGTCACGTTTGACATTTAGTAACATTATCTGCCGATAGTATTAATTAATGCTCGCCTCGGCGATCGTTTCTAATTTCACAGCGAATAATGATGCGCCCGCATTTGCGACCGACAAAGCTCTCGATCTCTGCGAGGAAAATACCAACCAGTGGAAACACAATCGCCGGCAATTATAACATTTTGCGATTTTTTGCCTTATCTCGCTTCTTCATGTCGGTTGCAATTCTCTTCACAAATGCTTTCGGATGCTTCAAACGTGCGCGGTGTCATTTATTTTGATGCTAGAAAATTGTCTCTGCTTTGTTCAGATATGAGAAGCGACCCAGAAAAATAAACAAAAAACAGGGAACTGTGGATTGTAAAAAATGTATTAAATTGAGCTGCTTGAAAGGTGTTTCTGTCCAAGTAAGACGTTAAGATAACTAACGAATGCGAATGATCTCTGACGGTTCTCGCTACAGGCGCGAAGTTAATCACAGGGTTGCTATCAAAATGTGCATTGTTATGAAGCATGTCGAGTTGCATGAAAGAAAGAGAGATGGGTGGATTGAAGAAAGTGCAGTTAGACACGCGCGATTGCGTGCAAATTAACCTACGAACCTCGAAAACGGGCCGCAACTTCTACTTTGAAGAAGCAGCTTCAATTCTTGCCGTAAATATGTTTTTTTTTTCTAACAGTTAGAGCTGGTTATCTGGAATATGCGAATAAAAATAAGAATCTAATAACAAAAGAAAAAGGAAGAATAATAATTCCCATTTTACGTCTGCATTGTTTTGTACGAAATAAATGGCTACAAGTAATCTGCATCTTATTATTCGATACGTCTATTTACGATACGATGTTATATAAGCAAAAATTGCGCGCAAAAATTGCTCGTTTCATTAGCAATTCACGATTAGGGACAATCGCGAAAGCATCGGTCTCTCATCGCGCGCCTCAGGATGTTACCATTACTCGAAAATCGGTGGAACGGTCGTGGCAGACGTAAAAATGGAAGTGTGACGAATTAATTGCCGCGCGGAAAAGAAGCGGCGGGGGCGACTGTGAAAGCGCGATTTTGTCTTACTTAATTCATTTTTTTTTCCCTTTTTTTTCCTTGCACAACCGCGACTTTGCGCTTACGGCGACGTCTTACGACAGAGCGTCGTCACCCATCACGCCCGGTATAATGAACAGCCGACTCGCGAGTTTTACACGCCCGTGTTATGCGCTCGCTCTAAATGACGCGACCAAGCTAGCACGACATTGCCTCATCGCCCCATTGTCGTACTTCGTAGCAAGCATCCGCGTGACGGTTCCTGTCGGACACATAAGTGGACCTGCAGCAGAAATTCACAGACTTTTCAGCTGCAAGTTCTCTTTTGTCCGAACTAAGGTCTGTCACGGTGCATTTATTAATTAAAATCCGTCATGTTGAGTTCAGTAACTAAAATTAAATGTGAAACTTGTGGTCGAGACATGTATTCTTTAACAT